ACTGTATTTTGTGCTTTGGAGAAACTAAGCACTTCAGTTTGTAATGTTTTAACAGGCATTCCAGTTTCTATATTTGATGAGAAATTGCAGTCTGATGTGATGGGAGGATTCAGGCATCCGCTGAATCTGCATCTGTAGTTCTAGCTGACAATTGGTGAGCTATGCCTCCACTTAAACTGACATTTGGCCCTCTAAAAATCAATGTGGACCTTCCCTACCTTTCATACGTCTCTGAATGGTCCCACTTCACTGCAAATATGTCTTTCATGATGCTAAATTTTCACCTGATTGGATGCTAGGTAATGAAATACCTTCTCACAGTTTGGGCAGACTAGGTCTTCTGGCTTCATTTCTCGTAGTCTTTCCCTTGCAGCTGTTACTCTCTTTTTTTCTGGGTTTCTTAGGGGTTCCTCTCACTGGTTGAACACAAAGTTCAGGGAGACATCGAAACCTGGTTAAGGAATGTCCTCTCCCCCTCACTCACCTCTCCCTGTCCCTGTGCTCAGCTTGCCCCCTATCTTTTCCCCTTGCCTATCCCCTCTGGCTATGGTTTCGAACCCTGGTCCTCTGTCGTTCAAGCTGAGCTCGCTCCCAAATTCACCAATAACTCCAACAGATCTAGCCTTTTTACGATGTGCTTTTTTTAAATATTAATTTGACCTTCAATCCCCAATGTTCTGAACTCTGTCGAAATGACTTCAGCAAATTTAGATTTAGCAACATGTGCTGCAACTCCAGTATATCTGGAGCTCAGGATCTACAACAGATATTAAAGAATGGTTCAATAAACTAAGTCACTGGCCTTGAGAGAGGTTGGAGGATATGCATCTGACTGTATACTCATGTATATTTATATGTAGAAATATGTGCACATAAATGAATACCATATAGCATAAACAGAATATGCAGATCTCTTTGAATTCATAAATTCTTCGACATCCACTTAATTTCTTTTAGCTGTAAAAACCAGCAAGTAAATATACAAGGAAACTGAAATTTGCACCTGAATTCCTTATTAATAATCAGAATTGTCCTAATCTCTTTATCTTGAAGTTTTCATTCCGCAGTTTAAGGTCATATTTTATGGAAGACCCAAATGAATATGAATTATGCCTACAATGATCATACCATGTTGTAAATGGCATGAGCATAATTGAAATATATTTTCATTCATTCAGTCACTCATTTCATTTAGCTATCCCACCATTGCCACTTGTTGAAGTTGTGGTTCAAGCAAGCAGAAGAGAATCTTTTTGTGCCCCTGATCCTATATAATTAGTGCAAGCTCAGCAGGTGGGGTGTTGGGCCTCTACTGTCAAGACAATTTGTAACAAAGTCATTCCACCTATTACATTGTCTGCAGACTGGTCTTCTGATGGTTATATTGGACTGAAATGCTCCTCTTAGGGAGTCTTTCAGGAACCATGCTACAGACATGTCCAGTGCATTGGACTAGAAAACCCTCAACTCAGACCCAAGATTTCTGGTGGATAGCATTATTCCATATCCTATCACCACATAAATCAAGCCAAGTGATCCGAGCTCAATGATATGATTCTTCATGATACCTTTCCCATAACCACCTTATTCATTGTGATTACATTGGTTTCATCTGTAGGTGAGTCAGAGGGTGTGAGGGTGTCAAAAGACCTAGTGTTTCAAAATCTTGAGAAGTTTTGCAACCACTGCAAAATCCCTGCAAAACTGCAGAAACCATAGATGTGTGATTGTCAATCTGATATCTGCAGCATCTGTCATATGAGAACTCAAGTTTGAGAATTAAATTTCTCCAACTTTTCCATGGCAACCTGCATGACATGTGGCAAAAAATGTTTAGGATTCATCGATGGAGCCACAACCGAATTCTGAAGCCAAGGAGTCTCACTCCAGTTGTGATGCATTCAAATTGAACTAAATTAATGTGCTCTGAAGTTCCTATCAAAACTTGACAAAAAAAGAGCACCATAATCAGAAAGCATCTGTATCATGACACCACAGATGCTGACCAACTCTAGGTGCATGCTGCAACAATAAATAGATATGACTTTCTGAAGAGGATTCCATTTTTTATTAATTCAGGCTCTCTCCCACATATTAGGCATTCTCATTTTTTTAAGATTAACATACACTATTTTTTTAAAGTGAAATTAGCAGTACTGCTAACTACCTCCATATATCACTGATGGTGATGCAAACAGGTCAAAGTAACTGCAAAGAAAAAAGTCCTGCATAAAATTTCAAATTCAAACAAAATATATCACAGAGGTTGAAATCTTGTTTCGTGAAGCACATATGTAAAATGGCAAGATGATTGATGTTGGTCAGAACTGATGTGTGGCTGGCAAAATGAATGTTGAAGACATGAAGAGCACAGTTGCATGGTTGCATGAAATGGATGAAGAGGTGGAGAAGGTAGCTGATGAGTAGCAGAAGATGGAAGCAGAGGATGGAACTCAAATGACTGCTTCCTCCAAGGAGACAATGATACTTCAAAACTATGCAAAGATTCATCATCATCTTCATTATTCAATAAGACTGTCTACTTTGTGGTTTGAGTGGATTCTTGGATCTCTCCATTATCCAACTCCAATTTGGAGGGCCAGTCTAGATCAGAATTATTCTCAGCTTTTTTTTAAATACCTTTCTTGCTTTTCATAAGCACCTGCATCAATGAAGGTAGCAGTGAAAAAATTCTATATTATAGCTGGAAATATCCATCTCTATGGCATCTCTATTTTTGTTATAAATAGGTATACTCACCTAAGATTTGAAGCACTCTGCAGGGAAACTGTGGCCAAGGACCAGACTTCAAGGATTGCTGTATCAGTCTTGTTCAATTTTTTGCCCTTGGCCAACATTTTCATCTGTCAGCCAAGAAATGGGAACAGTGGCAGTGGCTTCCTCTTCATCAAACACTATGACACCCCATATTCTACACAGATAGTAGGTTCCAATNGAACTAAGAACTAACTCAAAGATACAACCAGGAGTAATACCATTTGGTGACCCTGAGTTACCAAATCTCAAATGTCAACAATACAATTTGATATGGAATTTTTATATTTCAAATTAAATCTTGGGGCTACCTACAGAGATTCAGGAAAAGATTATATAAGACTTCACTTTCCACTAAAATGTGTGACTCAAATTCAAATTTGATGAACTTCTGAGTTCAGTTTACTAACTATGACTCCACATTAACTGCTCCTTTAAGAGCCTTGAATTGATATGGGGATTCCAATATGACCAGCTCCAATTTCAATAACAAGATTTAATACTTCATTTTGGGTACTGCAAGTCATTTCATTATTTAAGTCTATCTTTTACATGAATTTTCTATTCAAATTGTTTCAGAACACTATTGTTTCAGAATCAATCAGCAAACTATGATCAGTTGCCACCATGGGCATAAACAACACCCTCTTAATTTTTCAAAGGGAGGAATCACCTCCCACTTCCTCTACATATTGGCACAGCACCTTTCTGCCTCTCCCCATTGGTTGACGCAGTCATCAGAGAGGCAGCACCACAATTGCCATTTCTTAACAATGGCTTCGGGATAATATTTAAAGCCAGATTTCAAAAGTACACACAAAAAGAGGCATTCAATGAAGAAGTTTATTTGGACAATAAGACAGAACATCAAAAACCATAAAATAACTGATCGGCTTTCTGCAATTGCAACAGAGGTGGAGGCACAGGGGAGTGCTCAAGCTGTTTGAATAAGCTTGTCTGCCACTGACTTGCATATACACAAATTATAACTGAATCATATCAACTGAGTCAGGATACAAATTCCTGGAGTAGTTCAGCAGTGAATCATACAGCCGCCAGGATCACTATCAAGAACCACTTGCAACATTTAGTATTTCAACCTATTTGCAACAATGCAGGTAGATTTTCTTCATAGAATATTTGGAATGACATACTCCCTTGCTTAGCAACATGGTTTTGAAGGGCTCAAAATGAAAGAAGATATAAGATATGCCCAAAAGATTCCCGGACTCGCATTCAACTGCACTTTCCAAGAGTAACATCTCCTTTGAATTTGGGCACTGATTCTACTGTTTATATCAGCTCTCACCAACAAAACAAATACTTGACTTTCAGAATCTGGTACGTCCATGTGACATGTCACAATGGCAAAAGTCTCAAGGTATGAGACACTTGGCACAGCTAGGAATATGCCTAAATAAGCTGCACCTTGTTTTCTGTCCAACTTGTCAATCTTAGTTCCATTCCTTCAGAAAAAAGAATTATTGTCTTATGGCAGTCATAGTGGTAACATTTTAATGATCAATGCAGATGTCAATTTTAGTCTTACTCTTTTGGAATTCAACCTCATTTTTTATTCTCTTCCTTTTCTCCAACTATGGTATACTCATTCCATTATACATGATGGAAGAGGGTGGTACCATGACATAGGAACTGTAGGGGACTGTGTGGTCATAGGGTGGTCCGAATCCAAGGTGCAAGGGTAGCCAGAAGGTAATCAGGAAGGTATCAGGAAAAGTATCAGAAAGGTTGCGATGTTCAGAGAGGTTCATAAGAGAGACCTCTGTGATTGGCAGCAGAAAACCCATTTAATAGTTATTGACTGACTCCAAGGTGTAGACTCCTTTGAATTACTTAGGACTCCAGCTTTATATAAAATGGTGCATAATTGGACACTACACACAGTTTATTATACAAGAAAACAGCAGGGCTGCCCAGAGGGAGGCAATTGGGGCAATCTGCCCTGGGCCCCTCGTATCAAGGGGTCCCAAGGGGAGCCTCCAAAGGGCCTCAAGGAGGTCCCCAAGGGGTCTCCAGTTTAGTTTTGCCCCAGGCCCCAGGAAACCTCTGGGCAGCCCTGGAAAACAGCAGGGGTATGTGAATGAGGTTAGTAACAAAGAACAGCCTCACACTGATTGGGGACCTCAGGGTGGTCCTCATCCCAGTTGTCTGGCGGGGGACCACTGTCACCATGGTTCCTCAATAGTCTGCACTGTCCTGTGCAGTAGATGCGTGCAGGCTTGGCACGGCTTCACGCGCACCGTCTGTGCTACACTCATGATGGCTCTCAACTCACTCCCGAGGAAGTGCATGGGGAAAGAGGGACGTAGGCTCTTACATGAGCGTAGATGGGAGGAGGTTTTTCTCTCCGTAATTACATCATTCCCTGCAAGGCTCGTGGAGGACTCCACAGAACCTTCAAGTGATCAGCCACAAGGGACTGAATTTCATGCTTGATATGAGGGAAATTTGTGATATATGAAGTTCTTGGAAGAGATCTGCAGATATTACATCTCATGATAGGAGGCTCATGGATCTAGGTTATGTCAACAAACACTCTGGTTTTTTCCTCCCATATGGAGTCCTCGTGAGGTACTCATCAATATGAACAACTGTACAGCACTTGTCACCTGTCCTAGCTCACTGTCATCTTGTGTAGTCTTTCATCATGAGTTCACAAGAAAAGGGGTATAAGTGCCCAAAGACTTTTTCCCATATTCATGCTCATATACTCCTTTAGGACACAAACACAACAAAAGAGTGAGCGTGAGAGTTCACTTGTGACTGAACACAACATGCAGAGTCTGAGACGACGGTGAGCGCACACCATGCCCGCTCAAGCCAGCTCCCACTCAAACTGTATATCTGTGAACTACACTTTCCGAATTTTTGGTAGTAAATTGCGAATCATATAAAAAGAACCCTTGTAAAGTGAGGGAAAGGTGTATTGCCACATGTCTGCCTGAATGTGACATAGTTCTGTCTCTCTGGGCCCTTAGGGCCATTCTGCCCATGTGAATCTTCATCTTGAAGCACATTTAATTAATTATGGGTACAGTGAGAAAACTTTGCACGCTGTTGATGTCTGTTTGTTCTCACACCTGGTATTTCCTCCACTGGTTAAAATACTGCACTTTGTAACTCTTTCCAATACATATTCATTGCAAACATCATGACAAAGAATGATCAAGAAGGAATCAACTGAGATATAAGCAAAGACTTTTAAATATAATGCAGGACAGGAATGAAGTCAGGTGGGGAAAATATCACAGAGGAAATAAACAGATCCAATCTTTGGCATACATCCTGAAGAAGTCAGAGTGCGAGGAAGAATCGATGTGAATGAAGCCAGACGGCAACAAGGATCCAAAAGATCGTTCCCCAGAGGTTCATAAAGAGGCGAGCAAGGTGACTCTCGGGCAATGGACCAAACTGGACCGGGAAGGTCTTTTCCAGCAGCTCGTGCCCCACATAGAGGAGAATCGCGTTCATTCCTGACAATAGAAGACACAACCTAATACTTAACAAAGATAATGCTAGCCTCATGTACAAACCTTTTGACTCAAATTCTGACAGAAACTGAGCAACCCATACCAAGCAACTCCTACATTCTCATCCTGCCACATCAGAGATTTTCATTTTGCTTTAATATCTGTATATTCAGGGAGCATGAACATTTTTTTACATACAGAGTACACTTGCCTCATAATTCCAGGGGCTATGAATTCATGCCAGAGGCCAAATGCACATACAAGGTTTGCAAACGAGGCTGACTAGAGCCTTTGTAGTACTGAATGAACTAGCCCACAAATTTGATGCTGAACTCACCGACATGAGAGAAGGGTGCACCACGCCACCACTGCTGGATGTCAACGATCCAGTGGAGGAGTGCAAGGATGAAGAAAGAAGTTCCTGCAGTAACCAGTGTGTAAGAAAGTGACCAGAGGTTTTTGTTCAGGGGAATCACGCCACCATTTTGTGATGCTTCACAGAGGCCTAGACCCACCATTCCCTGTCAACAGAGAACAGGCTCAAGTTGCACTTTGAATCTTTTATCTGTGAAGGGACCAATCTTTCCACCATCAAGACCAATTCTTCGAGGGAGAACCTTTGAAATGAAACCATAGGCTTGGATATGAAGAAGACATTGTAAATCTTTTGCAGCTTCCTCCTACTTAAGAGTTTCCTGGGATTGAGTATAAGCAATATAAGAAAAAACTGTTTCATATCTGCATCTTTACATGCAGAATGAACAGGACCCAGTGAAGTGTTCAACTTCCCACAAATCTACCAAACAATTTAATAGTCTTGAAAGAAACCATAAAGCAGATGAATAAACTATAACTGCAAATGCAAGTAGTAAAGCATTGCATTAATTGTTTTTGTAACTCCAGCACACAAACATGAAGGGATTGATGGAAAAGGATGCATGAAAGAATGCTTACAGTGAGGAAACCAAGGATGAGCCACATAAGGATGTGCAGCCTTGCAACAGGATGTGTGACCACAATAAGTCCTGCCACCACTCCCAAGTAGACTAAAACGATTGAATTCAATGTCCCCACCAGACCTGTACAAGGAAAGAGTAGAGTTCCTCCATCATCTCTCCAAATCTAAACCTACAACTCTGATTACCTGCACCTCTCATGGACCAACATCGTCCTTAAATAAACTTTTCTTTCCTTTTTCCTTTGGAAGGAAACCTAGCATATTTTTCACTTTGGGCCTGCATACCTTCAGGGTCAAAGGGGATGTTGGTGTTATAGAGGCTTTTGGGGGTGGCATGCTGATAGATGTGGGACTCCCCAAACACAAGTCGATCCACATATCCGATGGCTCCTCCTGTACAATTCCAGAATCCCCCACCGTCATGCATCCCACCAGGTCCCAGGTAACCTCTGAATAAATATTCACAAATGTATCATTTTGCTGTGCAAGAAATAAATTCCTCTATTTCACCAATTTTTTCACTTCATTTTCATGAGTTGGTTTCGAGGCTAAGTTAATACAGCCCAATCATTATGTCTTCCTTGATTTATGTTAATAGCCAGGATTAGTTGACTATTGGTTGACCAGCTGTCTGCTTATTGTGATAACAAAAAAAGTCAAAATCAACTGAATATGCCTGATACCAAGTCAACAGGATCGCAATCATCAGTTCTCGGTTTCCCTGCTCTCTATGGAATGATTACATAATGATAAGAAACAACTACCTCCTCAAATTGTCAAAATCTGCCAAGTGACAAGGTAGTTATAACCACTATATTTATATTTTGTTTCACAGACCTATGAAGGTTACACTGACAGGTATTCTCTGAATCAGTGCTTCTCAACCGTTTTTAGTTCACAGCACACTTTCGAGCTAGCTCAAGCCTCATACCGAACCAAATTTCACAATGTCAATGTGAATAATATTGTCATCATCCACTAGTCTATTCGACCGATGATCATCGGTCATAGCTTCAGGAGGATAAAACACAGTGATGTTATTTTTTTACCTATAATTCTGAAAATACTGCAGCACCAGTTGCAAAGCACTGCTCTGAATGATGGAAGACAATTTGAAGACACCAAATACCAAAAACCACATACATTTGATTAACTTTGAGAACATCACATGATTTTGATTTCATATCACATGTGTAACTAGTCTAAACCTTTCAACTCCATGGAGTGTCAAATAGAATTTGTGGCAATCACACCTCTTGCAGTGAAAATTTCACATTTTGAGTTCAGGTTTTAAATGCACTACATCATTCTCTATAACATAGTTTGGTCTCATGAAGCCCACCTGGGACAGCTGGGAACAGGGAGATGGAAGGTGATGAGGAGGTGTGATGTGATACATAGAGCAAAAAAGAGCCCTCGAATGATGTGACAGCAGTTCCTCCCCAGTCTTGCCAATCCTTGCTGAGAAACATCAGGCAGCTTGAACAAAAAGAGTTCCTGAGTTGCCACCAGGAAATACACGATGGAGAAGCGCTGCAGCACACCTGGGATCCTCAGCAACCTCATGTCTGTCAGGCGGTTTGTTGACCTGGAATCGGATCCTTCTCTCTGAGGTTCTTTGAATATTTAGGGATTTTTATATAATAAAAAAATTTCCTCAAAAGTGGGTTTACCTTGCATTGAGTATGAGGCCAAGGAGGAAGAGGATGGTCGATCGTCGCAAGATGCGAATGAAAATCTGCTTCCTGGAGAAGGACTTCATCAGCTGACTCTTGAGGGACAAAACCAGGCTTACTCCCATTATCCACATGAACCTGAAAGTCATTAAAACTAGAGCCATTGAATTCTCATTCCTGCAAACCTGAATCTGTACTTACATTAGTCAAGTTTCAAGCTTTGGCTTCCTAAAGTTTGTATTTCTTTGCAGTTGTCAATATCAAGCCTTCTCATCATTCTCATGTGCATCAAGAAGCAGCAGGTGTATTCATTGTAGTTGGCTTTCATTTACATTCCTTTGCTACTATGGCAAGGAGAATCCATCCTGCATTGCTACCTAAGACAATGCATATCAACTGCATTCCCAGCTAAACTGCAGCTTATGCCTTCTGACATGGTGAAAAGTGCCACAGCAGATGTTTTACATTGATACTGGGTGACAAAAAAAAAAACAGATTCCGACACAGTATGCCTGCAGACTGAATACTAAGAAACTATGAAGGGTGCTGCATTCAACATTTAAAGGCAATTTCACAAAAAACTCAATGAATTTGGTTTCTCAGATTCCGTTTGGCAGCACTTTTTCAGCATGATGTCAAATTCATGAGTGTGTCAGTGTGCAAAACCTGGATGCTTCTGCCATACAAGACATGACTTGTCCAACTCCATTTCCATTGGAGCCATGCTAGCTCATTTGACATCATACAGAAAAAGGTTGTTACTGGGGTTCTAAATGACTGTTTAAATGAAATTTCTGGAAAACCACCTAAATATGTTGGATGTGACATCCTCTAAATTTCCTGATGATTCCTCATATGGTGTCCAACCTGCAAGCAGTGGCACAGTGATGGGGGCTTCATGCCCCCCAACTCTGGTCAAAATGCATCCACCACTCCCCTTCTTGGCAAGGAGACGTAAGTCCCTCATTGGGGAAATATTGGCTACACCACTGCCTGCAACATCATACTCTTGTTGGGAACATCTATGTCACCTGGTGTCACATCCAATATAGATAGGGAGTTTCCCAAAAAATGTCAATGGAATTGGTCTTCAGTGCCTTAGCAACGGTCTTTTACATAATATCAAATGGCCAGTCCTGTCTGGTCAGCTTGACTATGATAGGGCAAATCCCATCAAAAATGAAGAAAACATCCAAGGTCCATGCAATGAAAAATTTTGGAATTAGACATAGGGCAGATAGAATAGTTATAAGGGTTTCTGAAAAATCATTTTCATTAATACTTTAGGAAAACTATGGGGAAATATTGAATACTAGCTGGTCACTCCTTCAGTGCTCCTTTGTCCTGGGTAGTAATTCATTCCTTAATTCATTTTCAAAGTGGCAAAAAACATATGAAAAGTATGTGCCTGTCAATATGTGTGCCATGAAGGGATGAACCAATATTTTTTAATCGAAACAATCACTCCGATTATTTCTTGTGTGCCTAACATCAAATCTCTTCATAATCTGCCCTGAGGGGATATATTTGAAAAGTACGATCTGCATTCAGCAATTGAACAGGGTGCTTCTGCTCCAAGTTTCAACTTGCTTCAGTTCTCTCTTTCATTGGATGAAAAAAAAATTGGGAAAATATGTGCACTCAGGGGTCTTACCCAAAAATTGAAGTTTTTGGGTAAAAGAATTGAAGTTACTACATGCCTACCAAATTTCAACCTTATCCATTTGCCCTTCTTTGCTGGTGCAAAAATATAGTTGCAATAGACAACCAAGCGAAAAGCTTTGCCCTAAGGTAATGCACCACAAAAGTTGAATTTTTTCTGAACACTACAGTTATGTATATGGCAAAGTTCAATTTTTTATCTCTGTCCAATTCGCTAGGGCAAAATAAATTATTTGAAAATGTCACCGTCAAACAATATGCCCCCAGGGGATGTATAGAAAACTTTGACATTTTTTCCTGAACTCCTTGTCTAAGTAGTCACATTCATGTGAAGTTTAAGCTTTCCATGTCTCTCCGTTTGACTGAAGCAAATATATATCTTTGAAAACATCTCCCCCCAAATTTGGTGCCCCCAGGGCATTTACCTCCAAAGTCTGAATTTTTCTGGACTCAGCATCCCAATAGGTACTTACGTTGTATGTTTCATCCTTCCAGCATATCTAGAACATGGTTAGAAGTAGCATCAGTCAGTCACTCAGTCACAAACATCTATACATATTAGATGACACTCTTTCAACATCCTGTCAATCCTGGACATGGTGTCCCTTCTACAAATGTGTAAATTGAGGATATTTTTGGGGCCACCTGGTATATAGTGCACAATATTTTCACATGTTCCTTAAGACTGGGTTGGCAATGCATATCAGGGGATACCTCCTTCAGTCCATCAATTATTGATAGAATTGTTGATGCTCCCTCCCCCTAAAATTCACCACTTACTGATAGAATGGTAGCACCTGATAATGAATATTAGGCATACGAACAGGAATAAGCATAAATAACCAAAATTGAGTTGTTTTGTCAGTAAACACACCTTTTGGGGGAAATAAAAAGAACCTCCACCTTGTTTATGGAGATTAATGAGCCATTGTTTCTCTTTGCTAAATTCCATGACATAACAGCAAAAATCACATAAATGAAAAGCTCCCCTCATTTGTTTGCAATAAGAAATGCACAATGATTCCATCAGAGTTTCAGTAGGGTAATGGAGACATCCATGCCACTTGCTTCTTCTTAAGTGGTCAGTTTTTCTATTCTGAATGGAGTTTTTCCAAACTGATCCTAAGGAAGTTTAACAAGTTCACTGCTGGCAAAAAATCTCATCCTCAACTAATGCACCAAAAGTAGAATTGCAAGTCATATATTGATATAGTCAATACTTCATATAATGATGCTGCACAGAAACCAAGTGTACAGTCTAGAGACTGCATGGTTCATGCAATGCGCCTAAGTCAAACCCCAAGCCTCAACCCTTGTGGTAAGAAAAATGAAGGCATAGAAACAGCAGTGTCCATGATGCACATATTTGTTATTGTGGTTCCTCAATAGTATTCTTTCATTTACATGTGTACCATTGACAGTAAATGTTTTAAGTGGTATATGTACATGGTTGGAAAAAAGAAAAGGAAGACACTTGAAATAGTGCAATAAAAACAATATATTTAAATGGATTATCTTGAAAATTTAATGGAATATTCCCTAATATGTTCTTCAAGAGCATCAGGTTCATACACTTTCAGCCACTTACTCTTAAATTATGGCCCATTTTATTGAAATGGTAAAAATTCTGAGCAAACAGGCATGTGACTGCTGTTCTGAAGCATAAATCCACATTTGATTTTTGTTTAAAGAAATCTTTCTTTTTTAAGGCAATCCATAAAAAAATGTTGATTTCATGGCAACATTTTGAATGGCTCACTTTCTAAATTTTTTTATTTAGCAAACCTTGTAGTTTCTGTAAACATAATAATTTGCAATGGTAAATAATCCACAACCACCGGTGACAGGAAATATTTTACAGATGATCAACATCTCATATGAATGAAATAAGCTTCTGAAGGAGACCAGGACTAACATAGATTTGTCTCTTTCAATAATGCACTGCATCTGTTATTTTTTTTAAATTCAGAAAAGGACATGATATACATTTGACTAGAACTATGGTTCCTCTATATTCTGAGCCGTTCATATGCTATCCACCACTCAGGGCATGTCAGATACTCTGGGTGCAGATATGCCCTTGCATGTTGTCACAGAAGGAGCCACAAATCCTAAGTTCAAAATATTTGAATAGCATCCCACAGGATGACATACCATGGGAAAGGAAGGTCAGCCACAGTCAGTCCATTCCATCGTGAATGCTTAAAGAACCAATAATCACCACCTCCATAGTTCACGAAGATCATCAGCACAATTGCAATCCTATGAGTAACAAATAATCTCCTCAAATATGCTGAAAAATGGTACCCTAGGGTTGAACACAGAGGCATTCAAAGACATAACCCTCGGAAGGTATCCAAGCTGTTGAGACGTTCCTTGCCCTTGGGAGAAGCTTGAATGGAGAAAGATGATGATGGGGTATGATGCTCAGGTGAACCTAGGTCTTCTAGAAGGGGATCCTCCCTTCTTGTCAGCAAACGTTTCACTCTTCGCAAGTTCTTTTGGGTCACAAAGGGCAGCAATGCCTATCACCATCGAAATGCAACATATTACACATGACATATCCCATTAAAGACAAAGAATACAATCTAATCAGGGTCAGAAATGCTTTAAACAGTTATAAAATGCATTTTTGGGAGTTTCATGAGTTCCAACCACGAACTCAGAAGCTAGGAATTATTGTTAAACTATCCAAACCTGAAAAAAGCCAATAGGTTAAATAGGGCTTCTAGGGAAGCAATAAAGAACTGACCACCCAGGCTATTCCTTCCCTGGCTGTTAGGCATATTTTATCCACTGAAAGAATGACATTTGAACTCTGAATACTGAGCATCACAATTAGATGGTTCTCTTCATGATAGATACACACACCTGCACCAATATGTCCAATATCAGCGTCAATATCAGTCATGAATATCCTTCACCAAATAAATTGCCTTTGCTTCTCTCCATCCAAGAATGGAGAGCAGCATGGTGTTTGCCATCAATTTAAGCTAATCTAGGCTGTCCCATAAATACCAGGTGCAGAGAAATAAAAAACACACAGCTCTTTGTTTAATGCTGTGTGTTGCATATGCATGTTTTCTATATCATAGTATTTTTCAGAATATTATCAGCTGGTTTAGCCAAACAAGCAATTTAAAAATAAATAGTAAAATCTCTGGAAATTCCTATCCAAGGAGGCTTACAAAGGGCCAAATGATGGAATGGCTTTGCACCTGAATGACAGCATTCAGTTGCTGCTTTCATTAAAGTATTGCACTTTTACAAAACTCAGTGCAAAATTTTTTACAAAAAAAAAACATGTTTCAATACTGCTCTGCCAGCCTAAGTCAGCTGCATGATTACAACTGATTTAATAGACAAACTGGAGAGGAAATGATCAATTGTACTCTGTTCCATTTTTCATGTGAGGCTAACAATGGGTAGGAACTTCCAAATATTTTACTTGCAACTTCCAAAATCCTTTTGTGGATGAACTAGATGAAGTAAAATTCATAAAAATATTTTTATGTTGAAGATAAGATGTAGATGCATGCATTCTGGAAGATCCATATCTGTAGACATGACTAATTCCTTGATATAAAAATTCAAACAACAGCATGACTTTTCCCCTGCACTTGGTAAATACTTTTTTTTACATTCTCGTGAAACATAATAGAAGAGTACATGCAAGGATCTGACCAGAAACTAACTTGAAAGGAAGACTTCTGACCTGAATTCCCAGAAGTAGGAAGAAGGCCCAAAGGAGGGGGAGGAATGGATTTGGTGGTTGAATGAGGACCTGGATAGGAGAACAGTCTGTATGATTGAATCCCAACTTGTACACACCAAACTCCGTGAAATGATACGTCACATTGCAGACATTCTTATTATTTGCATCTTGGATGCCCACCCATGTCCCATATGATGTGTTCACCACTAACTCTGTACCTTTCCCACTCTCCACATTTCCAAAATACCATGGGTCACACTGGAAGGCAGAAAAACCATGACAAAATAAGTCAGAAGAAAAAGTATTGGCTCCTTTCTCTCACACTCAATTTCACTATAATGTCAATATTCCAATAGAGAGGAGGAAAAAGCACCAAGCAGCAAAAGGTGGCACCTGCATTCTTATCATATTAGTGATCTAGTTCTCAAAGATCTCAAATTGGCACACATCAATGGAAGAACATTGTCCCACAGTCAATAAACTCATACATGTAGATGGTCCTGTGCCTCATTCAAAAGCCTGATAATATATATTTAGAATTCAAAGCAGACCTAAACAGTTAATGAAAGAAACCAAGAACCAACCAATCAACAATCAATGATTCAAAAATCATAGGAACTACATTTTGAAGTGAAACATGATGGCTGCTCCTTTCCCCTTCCATTTCTTAAAAAGCTAAAATACAATTATCATCTCCTTCACAGACAAATCAAGACTTCCTTCATTTCATTTGCAACCACATAAACTCAACCATTTTTGATCCAATGCATTTGTATGTCTTGATTTCAGTCCCACAATTGTCTCAACTCACCATACTCATCCACAAGGTTCCCCAAGATATATCACAGTCTTGTTTCCAGGTCCTTATCAAGACTGACAAATATGTAATATTGCACTTTTGCACCACTGCCCCCATATTCATGATAGTCACCCTCTGCATGAAATTATTTCATTAGAGGTTACATCTGTAACTCTTCTATTTCTCTGACATCCTGGGTATTGGCTTAACTTATTCCTGGTTTTTCAAGCTCAAGAAACCCTGTGTAGAGGGGTGTCAAGGAATTTGAGGCTCACCCCTTCACACTCAACAGACTGAGCAAAAACAGAGTAGACTTGATCTGCCTTGTCCTCAAGAGTCAGTTTCAAACAGGCTTCATTCAGCTGCAGGCTGCGATTGTGTTTCATCTTGCAGAAGATTTCCCCATCTTGTTCAGTCATTCTTACACACCAATCCTGCAGGAAAGGCTGAGAAAAAGCATGCACAGGTCACATGTGTGGAAAAGTAAGTAAATAACATAATGCTTAGGCTCAAAGCCTCACAAGTGGAAAAGGAATATGAGTTGCCATGTTGCCAAAAGGTATCCAAGGATCATAATAATCCTGGCCATGGTTCATAATAAGAAAGAAAACATTTGAAAATCTCTCAGGCAAGATAAACTTCCCAAGCAATAACTTTTAATATTTGGGATTGCCATTGCTACCACCCATGGCAAATTAGCTACAGTATTGTAGCTGTGGGTGCAACAGTTGTCCATTTGGACACTATTGTCCAATCATCATTTCTCCCACCTTTATAACAGACCGATAAAGATGGATAAAAGTGGAATTAGCATATAGACAACATTCAAAAGACCATTTATGCATTTCAGAGACATAAGAAGTGCTAGTGTAACATATGGAAATATTGTGAGAATCCCCTGCCCCACCCTCCCTTATGCCTTTACTGGAAATGCCAACCCATGCAGATATAATGCATTTGTTACTGATGCTTCTCTTAGTTCACCTTTACAATCCATCCATAAGTTTAATGAATTGGTCTTACCTTAATACATTCCATTTGAGCATTATATGGCACGTTACCATGAAAGAAGTAATGAATGAAGTCACTACAATATGGATTAGATGTATAGGCAGCTCTTCAAGAATTGGAAGAAGAGTTTGCCTATTCCTGTTAATTATTCATCTTTCCAAGCCTTACTTTTTCAGAATCCTACCTCTGTTTATTTATCAATATGCTATCATGGCAATTCTTATGTTCACAACTGAACATGTCACCACAACAAATACTGAATGAGACTGTCATAAGATGACCAGGTCTATATTTTATTATCTTCACTGCACAACCACAGAGAAAGAAAAACCAGAACCACCTGGATGCATACATGTCACTGTCTATGCAATGCTTGTGACTAGAGTCAGACATCAGGATTTAATAGGTCGGAGCTAAGCAGAATCTTCTCTCCAGGCTTGAATGGAGGGAGCCCACGATACGGACAGGATGCACATCGGAATGCATCACCCAAGTAGCAGTTACCACAGGAGGACTTCTTCTCCTCTCCTCCCTTTCCCTTCTCTACCTGCTTCTCGACCTCCAATTCTTCAGCTAGCCCACAAGAGCAGTCCTTGCACGCTTTCCTCTGTCCTGTCGTCCCACACACACGGAGACTCGATGGATCCGGTTTCTTGAGGTCATCCTCATCCAGCAGATCATCTGCATTGATTAAGTCTTCCTCCATTGCATCACTGGCTTCCAGTTTCCATATATTCTTTGCCTCTTCTATTGATTTCCCAAATGAAAGTGGTACAGATGCACCAACCTCAAACTTGGGTTTCCTGGATTCAATGCCAAAACCCTCTGCCTTGACATCAATAAAGCCATTCAACTTGAGCTTAGAGAGGAGAGCTGAATCATCACTTTTCCCAATCAAAATCAATCCACCAGGCTTCAGAACACGCAAAAAGTTTTCCAAAAGAGTATCACTATGTTCACTACTGTCCTCAGGATGAATCCCAGACAGGATGGCATCAAAGGTTGAGGCACCAAAATTGGAATATTCCAGCCTATTTGCATTCTCAATGGAGATGTGACCAGTGTCAGAAATGGCACCTTTCAGCTTCTCCACACATTCCTGCAGGCTTTCTGGGGAGGACAGCTTGTGCCAAACCACCAGAACCCTCCACCCTTTCTGCAATTTCTTGTAAATTTCCTCAGCCATCACATCTAATGCCCTTAAGTAAAGAAATCTGAAAGACAGAACTTTCTGGATAAAACTTTGATGAGGTTAGAGCTAGGGACAGAAGCTCTATATGAATGGTGTTAGGTTCAAAACAGACTAAGCAGAAATTATAGAGACTCTTGATTTAGTGACTGTGAATTCATATGTGAGTCATCATACTGGCTTATTAATATCACATTGAAATTGATTAAATTAAAGTAAATAAACTAGTTTCCATATCCCTGATGCTGCCATAGTTCCAAATTTAAATCACAATAATAGGCTCTTGGTTCTCCAGGGGTGATGAAAACTTCATTTTATTAGCCTGATAACTTATCATTAAGCCTGGAATAGTTCAATGTTGTATTGAACTATTCCAGGCTTAATGATATATGAATCATCCAGGATTGGGAGGGGGGGGAAGGCATATGCAACCTTACACTACGCAGATCGCATTCGTCATATGTTTTGGGTGTAAGAATCTCCAGGCGATAAACGGAATACACTAGTCTATCTACATCTAGCCTACATAACACTGAGAGTGACCTCTCATATCACTATTTTCTCCTCTCAGTGGACTGAATATAGGCCAAACCTAACGCTACCATTCTACGAATGCTTAAATCTATAGGCGAACCTAACTTTCTCCCATTGCCAGACGTTTTCACTTCAGTCTCATAGGCCATTCCCGTTTTAAGCGCAAAATCGACCAGTCAAGCGAACGTGAAAAGCCAATCGATCCACCCATTAAGGATGACGAGGTCATCCCGAACTATCTCCGATTTAACTAGAGCCAAATAGCCAAGTTCATTCATCGACACAAAGAATGAACGACGTAGTTGCCACTTTCACACTCTCCCCATCATCCCTGTAATGGGACAGGGAGAGCGCCATATAGGTCAAACTTTAGATGTACACCAAAATTATGTTCCTTATGACATGTCATTAACAGGCTGGCGCATATGAACGAATAATAAAATTTATAAAATAAAAAGCCTCGTTTTATCATGCAATGGCATAGAGTCATATAATTATCCTCGATCATTTGCATAAACTCAACAAAACGCTTATTTACTTGAGAAGGAACCTGTGGCAACACTATGAAAAAAAAGAGGGCGGCTCGCAAGGAATCCTCGTGCTGTGCGCACGCCGCTTAATCAAACGTGTTCCTGTTTATCAAAACGTGTATTTTTATTTTCTCACGTTAGGTTTCTGGTTTGGCCTTGTGCTTCCATGATGATGGGGGAAAAGAAGAAGGGTTTGTGTGAGGTGTGTTCTTCGCCTTCGGATCAACGGTGTTCAGCTTGCAAGTCGGTTTTTTATTGTAACCGACAGCATCAGCAAGCGCACTGGAGGCAGCATAAGGTGGATTGTGACCATATTCGTGGGTGAGTTCAAAGTGAAATTCCTCTCGTTACCTGTATAGCTCTCGGTGCTAGGTAAATTATTGAAATGAAGGATAATATTCGGTCAAATTCATTCAGGGATCCAGACAAAGCATCCGGCTCCACCCACCACTGCATTGCTTGCCGCAAGAAAGCGGATCAAAAATGTAGCTCTTGCCGCCTTGTCTACTACTGTGCTTCCATTTGTCAAAAAAGCGACTGGAGTCACATTCACCGAGATGAATGCGGAAAGATACGATCTCTGAGGTCCCACATTTCCCCTCAGTCCAAGGACAGTGAGGTGAATGAGGACAGCTTACCCATCCTCACCAAGCAGAAACTCACCCTTCGCTCCTCCCCAAGTAGTCCCACCCTTCCCTACAAAATGGAGCAAAATGAGGAACTTGGACGGTATCTAGTGGCAACCAAGGACTTAGAACCAGGAGAAGTCATCTTTATGGATGAGCCATTAGTGGTTGGTCCTGTTCAAGGTGGCACTGCCATGTGCCTTGGCTGCTACAAGAGAGTCACTCAACTCTCTTGGGCATCTTGTCACCGATGCAATATGCCCCTGTGTTCTGTTGCCTGTGAAGATTCTGAGCAGCACCTTCTGGAATGCAGTTTCATGTCAGTTCAGAAAAAGCGAAAGTTCACCCTCGACCTCTACTCCTACGTGACAATCCTCCGTGCCGTCATCTTAAAGCTCGATCCAGTGTTCAAAGCCAAGTGGGAAAAGTTGAGCAGCTTGGAAAGCCACCTAGATAAGGTGCAGGAGTCTAAGATGTATGCCAAAAGGCGTAACATGATCGTAAAGCCACTACGAGAGCTGGTCGGGGACCCACATTTCCCCGAGGAAGAGATTCAACGAGTGTGCAGCATTTTCGATATCAATGCCTTTGAGATTCATTGCTCCCAGGGTCACATCTATGGATTGTACCCTACTGCCTCGCTCATGGAGCACAGTTGCATCCCAAACACATATCACACATTTGATCGGGACTTCAACATGGTCCTTCGAGCAGCCGAACCCATTGCCAAGGGTAGTCACATCACTGCCATTTATACCAGAATGCTGGAAGGGACCATGAACCGCCGCAGGATGTTGAAAGAGTTCCGCTTCTTTGAGTGTTCATGCCCCCGTTGTGCAGATCCTCTGGAACTGGGTTCATACTTCAGTGCTGTGAGGTGTGGAAAGTGTCCCAGTGGGTATCTATTGCCCCAGGATCCTCTAGAGCGGGAACCCACATGGGTGTGTGAGTCCTGTGAGTACCAGGCCTCAAACAAGGTCATTTCTCGCATCCTTCGCCCACTTGAGGAAGATCTCGTACCTCTGGAACGATCTCAGCCCACTGTTGATGGTGAGATTTTGCACTCTTGTGGTTCCAACAATGTTTCCCATTTACTCTCAAGTGGGAATACTTTTTGCTGGTACAATTCATGCACATTCTCCCTGTTAACATTGGGACAGGAATGATGAGAGAAGCATAGAAACTGCAAGGTCATGATCTTTTGCAAAAATCTGAATTTTTCAGTTCATGGGGAGTTGAAACCCATTCATGAATTCATGATGGTGATTGAGACATCATAAGGTGTAAAACTTCCATTGAGCCTATGTTGCTGTTGTCTTGCCTCAAGAATATGGGAACCTTGCAATACCTGCCGTTCTCGTTTTCAAAAAGTAATAAATTATGGGAAACAGTTCAAAATCACCTTGATGTTTGTCACTGTGAAGCTCTCATTATTATTTATGGCATTACTACCTCTTCAGAATTGACCACATTTAAAAAATAACTCATTATTGATCAACTTTATATGAGTTTGCATTCAGTCTTCAATCACAAGTAAATTTTGTGAGACTATGCTCCTAGAGCAGCATAGGGGCATGAGGTGAAGGAAATGGTCATTTCTCTTCCTCCCCAACTCTCAACCATCCTCATTCATGGACTAACCAGGCATTTTCTGATATCCTTATCCTCTCCTTCTTTTGGCATATTCACCAATATTTTGTTTGTATTATCTACAATGATGGACTGAAGGAAATTTTTCTGCTGGACTGGTTTAGTTAACTTTATTTTTAATATGATGGAATTATTTTGTGAACTCTTCACCATTTTACAAGGAAGTTCTTTGGAGCAAGACCTTGTACACCATACTCATAGACTATTACCTGCAAAATTAGAATTACTCAGTATTAGAGGTAAATTTCTCATGTCTTCATAAATGTTAGAAGTGAAATTGGAAGTCTTCATTTGTAATGTATGATGTTGTATTTCTTTTCCACCCCATGCAGCTTGTGAGGCATATCTAAAGAAATATGGTTCTGTGGTGCACCCAAACCATTACCTCTTGTTTTCCGTTCTCCACTCCCTGTCTCAATTGTATGGGAGGTCCCCTGGGAGACCTTTGCACAAGCTCACTGCTGCTGAACTCTCTCGCAAGGAAGACATCTGCCGGCATATGATACAAGTTGCCGACATCCTTGACCCAGGTACCTCATTCTCATGTTGTTACAGGAATACTTAACTCTATTTAATGACAGTCCAGAAAAAGAAGCATTTCATTGCATCACTGAGAATTGGCAAATACGCACACAAGGGAATTTTCAAGAAGGCAGTTGTTTACCTTTCTTTAATAGATGAAAAAAATATAAATTAGTATTGAGGATTACTTACCGTTGCTTCTGAGAGCTTTCATTCTCAGCTCTCTGGTGCAAACATAAATATTTCTCAGTTTTCATTCTTTGTAGAATGCTGATCCTTGCCCTCTCTAAAAATGTTCTAAATTATATTTTTGTTCTTTTATCTGGTTTGAAATGACGTGTTCTTTCCAAGGACTGGGGATCTTCTGGCCAATGCAAAATTTTATTACTTTATAGAAAAATATTTCTTGCTTCTAGTAAAATCAGTTGCTTTTGGAAATGAGCTGCTTCGAAAATCTCCAGTCCAAACCCAATGTGTAAGATGAAACTCAGGTCTGCTGAAGTCGATTCTTGGCTTGGGTCATGGGGAGGTTTCATTGCATGGGAACAGGGCTTCTTGCTTCTCCTCTTTTTCATTTATTCAATGGCAGCCCACAAAAAATTATTTCTGTTTTAATGGCAATAATTCTGTAACTAATACTTTTCTAGGCATTTCATTGCTGAGAGGAGTGACCCTGTATGAGCTGCAAGCCACACTCTTTGAAAAGGCCAGGCGTCTCAATGAGGGAGAAAACCCTGACATCAGTGAACTTCGTTCCTTGCTCTCGGTACGTATGCAGAACTGAGAACTGCTGTTTCTGGATGCCCAATATTCAGCATAATCAATTGTCAACTACTGCATTTTTGAACCCCAAATCCTGATATTTCATTAGGGAAAGTAGGCAAACAATAAGCAAGGACGTGTACAGGGTGAGTAAAAATTATGTTAACACTAATTGATTATTTTTCTTCTGCAGATAGACGTACACCATGGGTGACAGATTAACACTAGAGCAAAGAAGAGTGGTTGCAAGCTTGATGGAAGTGTATCGTTCGCTGACTGTAGTTTGTCAAAAGTTTGCGGAACGATTTGCAGGACGAGACCCGCCAAGCCGTTAAACGATTTCGGCTAAAATCTGGCAGCATTCCACACAAACACACTTTTGCGCCGCTGTCAAAGCTTGGACGACTTGGATGTGGTACGGTTGCATCCCGAGGTCTTGTGTCAAGATTCTTATTCAAGATTCGCCACACTGTTTTTTGCAGAATCCCTGTTTCCAAACTGCACCATCTGGTCTATTTTGATGGACTCTGCAATATGGCTTGCTGCACAACAGCAATGTTCAATTTGCTTCTACCTGTTCTGGGCCATCCCACATTTCCTCAGTAGTTATCTGCTACCGATCCAGTCTTCACAAACTTTGCGTAGACACGATAAATTGTTAAACGGCTTGGCGGGTCTCGTCCTGCAAATCGTTCCGCAAACTTTAGACTAACTACAGTTGGCGAACGATGCACTTCCATCAAGCTTGCAACCACTCTTCTTTGCTCTAGTGTTAATCTGTCACCCATGGTGTATGTCTATCTGCAGAAGAAAAATAATCCATTAGTGTTAACATAATTTTGACTCACCCTGTATTTCTATACTAGTCTGCATTTCCATTATTCCAGTTGGAAGTTGAAGTGTCCAATATTGTACTCTGCTATTGTTTACTTGGTCTATCCTTATCACCCTTCATCAGCCTGAGACATTTTCAATTTTCTCTCCCATGGGGTGTTTGACTTTAGGATCTTGGGCATTTTTTTTAAGTCCCCAGCACATCGCAGGAGGGTAGTCCTGAAAAAAATGCATATAGAGGGAGCATCATTCTTCCACCAAAAGCAGTACAAAATGCCACTTCCACCATGTATGTCTATGTGCAGATGCTGTTTTTGCTGTGCAACTCCTTAGTCTGACATTATAATTGTCAGCTCAATGACCAAGGAAAAAAATTTAACAAGTTTCATTTCATGGGAGCAATCAGTGTTATGTAAGGGAAAGCAAAGCCCCACTCCTGAACACTCTATTATCAGATGAATGACCATTTCTGAGTAGTTAGTGTATCCTAGTTCATATAAATGTGTCTATTGACCTTAAAAATTATTCCAAACAGATATTAGAAGGGAGATGCTGTCATGTCATGTCATGATCATCAGTTATCATCAGATGATCAGAAAATGCAATGATATTTGCATTTGAGTATCCCATGTCCATTAGCAAATATATTGATATCTGAAGAATTAGGTTCAATAAGGGCAGATTTATACTGGAATGAAGTTCAGAAGTTGGATAAACTTATGTGAATAAGTGACATTTCCCTCTCTCCTGATATGCATAATACTGGTATTGTTCAAGCTGCATGGTTCAAAGACAGTTCTGTCAAGAAGCATTGTTTTGGAATCTGTGGGGAATATACAACTTGGTCTCAAAACATCTTCACATTTGAAAGGGTTACAGAATGAATTACCAAAATGATATCCTTTTTTATCGAAAGGGATGAACTATAAAAAACTTGGACATATAATAAACCCTGATCAATTCCTGAACACGTGAAAGAGGATGTCAATATAGGGATACATAATCACTAGATTACGACTTACAGTTGAATGTTAAAAGGTAAGAGTTTCCAAGGATTTGTGGAGCAACTTTCTTTTTGCATTGTTTTGATGAACAAGGATCACCACTGGAAGCTCATGCTTCACTCAGAAATACCCCAAAAATTCCTGTAACCTTCAGTATGTGAATGGATAGAGCTGGAGGTGAAGTTGTCCTATATTCTGAGTTTGTATTGTATAGCAAATTTTTCATGTGAAATGATAAATTTAGTTGTTATGATTTGAACCTTATAGTAAGACCCTAGGTTACTACCATATGGTATTTATTATCAGCTTATATTGGCAGCCATGAAGGAATTAATGCAAAACAATGTGGTGTGGCAACTAAATGCAGTGTCTCGCTCCTCAGAAAATATCTGTAATGATAGTATTATTATTTTGGCTTCATTTCCAATTAAAATACAACTTAAAGAGTTTTTATCTTGTGTTCAAGAACCATGTTCTTACATATTCTTTAGCTATATGTTCTGAGCATTACTTAGCTTTTAGAATATATAAATTTCCTCTTACATGGAATTCAGACATAGTTTCAGATGAACAGAAATTGCACTTTGGCTTAATTGGCTTCAAGAAGGTTCTTCCATCATCACTTCCTTCACATTATTGCAAATTGCCTCCCCCAAATTTTCCAAAGCATTTATAATTGATTTATAATATAATTGTGACCCTCTTGGCCATTCTTCATTGCCAAGTTCAATTGATGTGCTTTTGCTTAAGCATGTCCTGGCTAGCCAGTGCATTCATGATGCATGCAATCTCAGAAGGAAGTCTCATCCCCAACATATAGCCATTTTTTCCATCCTTCAGGTATTGAATAACATGCTGTGCCAGGATGATGTTTCTGAAATTCACCAAGACTGACCCTGGAACTTAATTACCCTCATCATTATCTTGGCTGTGAAAAGCACAAGCAGTCATCACACCCTCCATGTGTTGATATTTAAACTAATGGTCTCATTGTTGGAGAGGACATACTAATTCTATTACTCTGATTGATGGGGAATGCAATAATTTGAAAATTTGTCACTGTGTACTGTGTAAAGAAATCAACCCTTTTACCACTCCCAACCCTCCAGGCTTTTTGGGTGTTGAGGAGCTTGGTCAATTCCCTGAAGGACATTTAAGTGAAGACCGTTTAAAGACTCTCATACGGAAATCTTAGGACCTCATTTTACTTGATTTCATTTCACTTGATTCTCTTGCCACAAGGATTCTGGCATTCTGGGAATTTGGTCTGTTTTTGTGATTGCTGAGTAGTCAGCTTCTCTGTTAATATGATTCCCTATTGAAATTTTCTTGCACAACTTTTAAGCTTCCATCTGGAAGCTGAACAATTCAAGAAAGTGAACCGAAGGAAGTTCCTGCATGTTTCACTTGTAAAAAGTTAAGGAACGAAGTAAATCAATTGGTGAAAACTTTTCATCATTGCATTTCATGGCTGGGTTTACCTTCGCCTATTATAAGTGACATGTGTAATGCTGAAGTTGTGAACTAAGTGCAATTTTTTAATGCTTTTGCTTTGAACTCAGTTCAAACTGCTTTGCACATCTTCGACCTTCAATCAATCTGAAGGCTGTTGAGCAAGAAAGGAAAATGGCTTCATTCTCCCAAATAATCAAACCATTTCCTGAAGAGAATACAAGAAGAAAATCTGGCCTTAAAGCAAGATGTTTGGAAAGAGCTTCTGCAATGTGTGCAATTTCCCTGTCAGAAGCTTTATAGGTACTATGCTAACTCTTGCAGGTCCGTCAGGTTAGCTGTCTGAGCCCAGAACCCCTAGAGCACCCTTTTGGGTAATGGGTTATATTAAATTTACCCTCTCAGAATGGAAGTATGGAGGTGGATGTCCAGTTTTGATGTGCATTCTCACAGGTTTATTTGGTGGATGTATTGCACAATGATGGCAAATCATCTGACACCCACTTATGAGCTTACTTATGAGTTCACACTGTTGTTTTCTGTGCTCATGTGGCAAATCACATGTAGCAGTTTTGTACTTAGGTATCATGCTTCTCGTTGTGAAATGAACTCTTCCTTTCCCTTTACTGCTGCACATGAACGACATCTTGATGCTGTAGAGCAAGCTTGGGTGGGCAGATAATAACGACTCATACTTTTATGTTATTTAATGAATATGCCATAAATTAAACAGTAATGGAGACCAGAACTGCAAATGTTTTGCGACTGGTACAGTCTCTTTTATCGTGATCCAAAGGAGAACCATATTCATGTATTAATACCTCGTCCATTTTATGCTGCTGGTCCCTTTCTTTATCTGCCTATGCATATTGAACCCAGTTGTCACCAATCATCTCTGGTGACAAAGATGTATTGCAAAATCTCTAGTAGTCAATCTAGTAAGGGTCTAGCGTTATATTTCAAGGTCATGGCTGATGCAGAGCCATTCACCTCAGCCTTGATGTCTTATTTAGAAGGATTCTTTAACCCAAATTGCAGTAGGTCTAATTACCGTATCCTGTATTACAGGATGAAAGGTTCGATTCCTATCCCGCAAGGCATTAATTTCCCATTGCGATAAACATAGATTTGAGGTCTCAGTATAAGGGGATGAACTTTTCTCTTGGCATATGCTCTTATGAGGTGTCATCTTGAGAGAAACTATTCCTGTGGCAGTCATCAATGTTTTACAGTGAACTATGGGGATCACCCCACGTGCAGGTTTTGCTGGGGCTGTCTCTTATATTTTTCGTAGATGATTGATATGTCCTGTTCGGGACATTTGCAAGTTCATCGGGAAAGGAACGTGATGAAGTTGCAAGAAGTATTTCTACTTAGTGTAATATTTTTCTTGCTGTCTTGGCACATTTTTCCTCCTTTATTTTTACCTCCAGCGAGGACTGTCGTCGCATTTTTCTTCGTCGAGTGCATTCCGTCCCCCAGGGAACACGTGCGATACAGACGGCTCAAGGTCCGTGAATCGAAAAGCCCCTTCGGTCTGGAATCCCAACTAAGTCCAGATCCCCTGTAACCTCGTCTTAGACCCACGTAACCTTTAACTCCAGGAGATTCAATTTGACCCAAGTGGCTACCCCAGTCCATTCCAAATATTGGCTTTCACCTCTGGTATTTTTTATGCTGCACATTCCGCGACGGGAGTGCAGAATGGCTCGGGGATTTGCCCTCCAGAAAACTTTGAAAATTGCATCTGACATCTGACTTGCTTGGTTTCGAACCCTATGCTCCTGCCACAACTCAAAGCCATTCACCTGGCTTCACTTCACTTACATATATTGGGCTTATGGTACTCGTTTAGGATGTCCTGAAAATTTTATTTATTGCTGTATTGTGTGAATGATCATAATACCTACTTTAAGTAGTTGAATTTTCTTGATGGCAAGGTAGAAAATCGCAGTCGCACGTCAGAAAAAAGGGAAATTTATTTTCAAGCTCAGATAGCAGCAACGCAAATAAGGGTAGGATTACAGTTGCCCGTGAAGATCGAAAGCGACGTTGAATACTCCCTCCGCTTCGAGAGTCGCTGTCGACCAAGCTCGGGGGGGGGGGGGTCGTGCCGCTGTTTGTCCCGGCAAGTGAAAGTCATGCTTTTAGGAAAATATTGTCGTGTAACTTGCTGCCGTGTATCTTCGAAATGAGGTGCATTAAATCAGGGAAGAGTTATACTAATGATGATTGCGGTTTAATTAGTAATTGTATACCAAAAATGAAAAACTGCGAGTTTTTTCTTCCAACTCACTGCGCAGGATGTTTCTGCACTCTTTTTTTCGACGCACCATCAAGTGGCTGTGCAATCAGTCAAGCAACCAATGCGAAATCAAGTCTGAATGTTTTCTTCGACATTTTTTCATCTCACGTATTAGGTGCTTAGTCTTGAAGGAATACATTTATTTATTTCTGTGTTGAATTTGATGGCATTGTGACTATGCCGTGCAATCTATTGGGGCCTACGGATGACGATTAGTGATCGCGATCTCCTCTCTTGCAGGAAGGGCTGATCTACTTGAGTCAGTCGATCTACCTCCTCCAGTACGAGCCGGGTCACACGCCGGAGGGTCAGATGAAGGTGGCCGCCATAGCGAACCTGGAGCAGGTGTCGTCGTGGGTGAACAGTCTTCAGCTGGACATCCCGAGCCTCGCCGTGACGTCGTCCGCCGCTCCGCCGGCTCAGACGTGAACCGCCCGTTCCTTTTTTATCCCGTTCCCTCGCCGTCACTGCCAAAGACCCGCCCACGGTTTTCCCTTGCGAATCTCTCGTCTGCGACGCCTGGGGGTCTCCGGCCCTGTCGGAGCGGAGGGCGTTTTGCTCAAAGTGTCTCTCTTTGCTCCCGAGGCCGTGCCTTAACGATCCTCGCCGATTCTCGTGCTTCTAACATCCTTTTTGAGTGTTTCTACGATCGCTTTCTCTCTTTCGTCGTCGTGTTAGTCGTGATTGAAATACGCTATAGTCTAGAGCTGGGAGTTTCCTGGAGTCTCCGCGGTCACTTTTCGTGATGTCGTGAATAAATTGGTGCTCTGGGAACGTCATCACATGTTGCCTGGTCATCGGGAACTTCCCCGTTTCTGTCGATCACGTGGACACCGTGTGGCTCGTCTCATTGTCCCTCTGTTTGACTCGTGCATTAACGCATGCAATATGCAACGCGCCGGGCCATTACGGAGTTGCAGTCCTTTTTATGGAGAGTGTCGTCATTCCCACATTTTCTCTATTCATTTCTCTCACCTTCTAATGGCCGCAAGCCGCCCTGCGAGTCTCAAGGTCACGGAATGCTACTGATCGAGCAATATTAGTATCGTAATGATGTCGTAAAAGACTCCGCTCATAATTTCGCCCACATGAGTCAGAGTCCCTGACTTCATTTTGTCCAGAGGAAACTGCAGTAATGATTTATGATGCGTAAACTTTTCTTCTTCGGTGCTTCGAATCCCCGAGGAAGCAACGTGTGTCAAATATTTGCTACCATCCGACTTCTCCGATCAAGTCCCAAGACTCCTCGATTCTTGACGAGGTTTACGGCACGAAGGACGGGGTGCTTGAAGGAATCACACAAACAGGTGAGCCGAAAGAAAACAGAATCCTTAATTCTCGATCCTCGTTGAAAGCACGTCAACCCGCAAATTTTGCTGCAAACGAGATTTGTGCCACACATTTGGCCATTCCGTGAAATTGTTGTCTCAGAGCCAACATGCGTAATCCGCTCTGCAAAGAGCTGCGTCGATACCCCGCAATTAACCCATAAGAGGGTTTTACATTTTTAATGGCCCGGTAAATATCTCCATCTAGAAGACACGCTATCGATTTTCTCCCGCCCTTCCAATGTCACCACATTTAAAAGCAGAGCCGCAAAAAAAACGAGCTGCGTCACCCCGTGTTCCGCTGAAGGTCGACATCCATGCGGATCTTCTCCATCCCCGTGTTAACAGCGATATCACGTGGACAACATCCTGTTTCCTGAAAGGTGGACGGTGCGTTCGCCTTCGCAAAAATAGATAAAAATATATAAACTCGATAAAATATATCGCAAGCTCTTACTTTAGTCATGAAGACCTACTTCTATCTAACGTCAGTTTGCCAAACGATTTTTTAATTTTGCACTTTTATATTTAATTTATTTTAATGCTTTTTTGTAATTTTTTGGATGATTTAATGTAATTATTTTATTTTGTATACCTCTATTTTCAAATATTATTTATTTTTATGCTCAAGAGCATCACAGCGTTTGGTTACACCGCCCTGGTTCTCTCGACGCCATTCCCGAGAAGTCTTCCACGAGCAACACGATACGACTCATTGCAGGCTGTCGGAGCAGAGAAGCATTTGTTCTCGGAATTTTTCGCTTGAAAATAAGCCGGATAGATGAGTAGGGAAAGTGTAGATGGCGCTGAGGCTGCAGCGGCTGATTTCGAAATGCCCTTTTAAAGGGCCCGTCCGTTACGAGTCCTGACCTTATGACCTACGGAAAAAAACGTAATAAATGGTAATACGATTCCCTTATTCCTCTCTCTCGTTCTGCACGGAGCGAACGAGTGGAACGGATGCAGCGACTCGCAATCGATGAAGTGAACGCAGGTATATCTGCGAGGTTGTAATCTGCGCGGCACGGTGATCGAATGAATGAGAGTCGGGCGTGACGATCGCCACAAACGAGGCGATCATCGCGGCGAATTTCCGCCGTGCCATCGGGCGATAAAGGAGAGAGAGAAGATCGGTAGGCACGAGAAGCCGAATCACGACGGAGGATCGGATTCGGCTTCGTCAGCCAGTGCCAAGGACGGGGCGGAGCGGAGAGCGAGGGATCTCGAGGGTCGTATCAGTGGCTGGGGAATCCTCGTCCGCGGTGCGACGATAAGGGATTTTTTCCACGTCGGGGAGGAATCGGCGACCTTGAGAGAGTTCGATCCTGTTGCCAGGGCATGTGCGCCTCACGTGGTGCGCCTTCAGTTTCCGAGTGACGGGGGTGGCAGCCGGGCGGTCCGACGCAGTGCCCGAGGAGGATGATGGACGTGAAGGCGAATGCCGACCGGGCGAACAAGGTGTGCCGGGTGTGCGGGGACAAGGCGTTGGGGTATAACTTCAATGCGATCACATGCGAGTCGTGCAAGGCGTTCTTCAGGCGGAATGCGCTCAAGAACAAGGTCTGTCGTTTTCGTCTGCGATACGCGCGGTCGATCCGTGCCTCGGTTTTCGCTCCGTGCCTCGGTCTTCGCTCTGTGCCTCGGTCTTACGCAACCTTGGGGGAATGTCGTATCGTCGTTGGCCCCGTGCCAGCTCTCAAGTCCCGTCCTGTTTTTTTATATTATTTTTTTACTCCTGTCGACTGGCTTTTCCGGTTTCTCGGTTCCTCGTCGTCGAAATCGGTCACAACGGGTTGAGTTCGGAATACACGCGGAATGCCTTCGTGAGGGAGCACCGCCGTATTCCTGTAGCATCTGTGGAATTGGACTTGTTTGCATGCGGAAAATCGAGAAGGAAACTTGTTTGCTAGGATCATTAATTAGGAAGCGAGCTTTATGCAAATGCATGCGTTCCCGGAACGGAATCGCGGAATGGATTTGTCGGAGTGGATGCGATTCTTTCCCCGAAACTCAATGCGCATTTCCGTTTCGATCCTGCATATTGATGAATTTATCTGCATAGTTTAAAAAATTTCCTAAATAAATAATCGACGGATGAGCGGGGGCTGACGGTTTCCTTGATGGAATGTTTTCGCTCTCGCGCGTGGGTTACCGCCGACCGATCCGTCGGCTCCTCGCTGGCCTCGTTGGCTCGTACGGCGCACTCTCGATTCTCGATTATTTATCCCCGGTACAGATGTGCACGTTCGTTTGCGATGCATTTTTATTTTATGCTCATTGTGCGCATTTCACGGAAGTATTTCCTGCACATTCACGCGTAGTAGAGTACTACTTTGTCAAAATAAGCCATCAAACGGAAAAAATACCTATTTAACGTTTTTTCCTAGAAATATCGCATATCATCCGACAAGTCGAGGCAGGGTGCGCGATCCGCGCTATCGCTATGTCCACGAAACGTGGAGGGCCTCACTCCCTTGCCTTATCGACGAGGGGAAGAGGGAACGCGGAGAGAGGATGAGGGAACGCGGATAGGGAAGTGGGAACGTGCGACGCGAGGGGAGGAACACGCACCGCGCGATGCGAGTGGAGGAACACGCACCACGCGATGGGAGGAGAGAATGACGTCACCGCGCGGCGTCGATCACGTGAGAGAGGATGAGTCAGGTCCGGTGCTGCGTCACCGAAGCACTCCCATCATCCTCCTTCTATTTGCATTACGGATCATCGGAGTATGTGGAGGATTAAAGAAAGATCCTGGATCCCCCCCGCCCCGCCCCGCCCCGCCCCACCCCACCTGCGACCGCCCCTCCGGTCCCTTCCAGCTCCGTCGGCTGTTGCCAGTCGACCGGACGCGCTGC